ACCACCACCACCACACTCACCACCACCACACTCACCACCACCACCACACTCACCACCACCACACTCACCACACTCACCACTCACCACACTCACTACTCACCACCACTCGCCACACTCACCACCACCACCACACTCACCACCACCACCACCACACTCACCACCACACTCACCACCACCACACTCACCACCACCACCACACTCACCACCACACTCACCACCACCACACTCACCACCACCACCACACTCACCACCACACTCACCACCACCACCACACTCACCACCACACTCACCACCACCACCACACTCACCACCACACTCACCACCACACTCACCACCACCACACTCACCACCACCACACTCACCACACTCACCACCACCACACTCACCACCACCACCACACTCACCACCACACTCACCACCACCACACTCACCACACTCACCACCACCACCACTCACCGTTCTGGCCTCCTTGCTGCCCGAGTCTCCACCAGGATCTCAGCCCTCAGTCAGGGACCGCGGTGAACGCAGCCCGGGCGTGGTGGGGACCGCAGCGAAGTGGAAAACAACGCCAGAGACCGCGACGAACAGCGCACAGGGACCACTGTGAATACACTCATTATGACAAAGTCCCGGGGACCGCGGTGATTTGCCAGTGAAAATTTACAATTGATCAGAGTCGGCAAATCGATTTATCCGCATGAATCCGATGAGCTATGAAGCTTTTTTTTCCACAAATGTTTAGTTAGGGGAGGCACGTGATCAGAACGTTACAACAACACACAATACAAAAAAACACGAAACGAGTGCAAAGTATAGGAAATGTAAGCAAATCACTTTAAAAAATGTACACAAATAAAACTAAACTATTTTTGTTTAATCTTCCCAGGTAAGAGCCCACACTACACTACTTTACCAAACCTGTAAACCCATGCGGTTTACCCGTATTCCTGTACAGGGAAATCGAGTTTTCAGGTCCATACTGCGTACAGCCGTTATAATACGGCCAAAAATAAGAATAAACGTGTAGAAATGTGCGTGTTGCTCCCTTGTGATGGGGCTTTGTAGGTGGACGTGGAGGTGTATAAGGGCATGGGGTGAGCAATAAGGTCTGAGTTGGTCTACAGGAGGTCGTGGGTCCTCTTACAACCCTGACGACGCCTGCTGCTGCTGCTGTGTATTTGGAGTTTGCGTGTCTCTCTCCCCGTGGTCGTGTGGATCTTCTCCGGGTCCTCTGGGATTTTTCCCCTCCAGATTTCAAAACATGCGTGTGAGAGTATGTGCTGCTGGAACTTCCCACACGATGATGATGATGGATGATGATGATGATGCTGATGGAGGATGATGACGATGATGGATGATGATGATGGATGATGATGATGATGGGAGGATGATGGATGATGACGATGGATGATGATGCTGATGGAGGATGATGGATGATGATGGATGATGATAATGATGATGGATGATGATGATGGAGGATGATGGATGATGATGCTGATGGATGATGATAATGATGATGATGATGGAGGATGATGACGATGATGGATGATGATGGATGATGATGATGAAGAAGTCGATGATGATTGATGATGAGGGATGATGATACAGCCGCCACTTCGTTTGCGATGCCCAAGTCGCTTCTGAAACAACGCCACACCTCGGCGCGGCCCTGAGCTGGAGACAGTTCAGTTTTAGATCTTGACCTGAAGCGTTCGTGACTGCAGGAACACACGTTCTGTGGCTGTTTCGGTGAAGCCACGTAGACAGAACAATAGTAAAACCATCACGACGTTTGTAACTACGTGGCTTTACCGACAGACCCACAGAACAGTTTAGTTTGAGTTGAGAGTGACCGCCAGGGCAAGCCAGGCGTGTTGCAGCCCCAGGAATCTCCTGCAGGGTCACGCCAGATTGCCAGTGCAGCAGCAGTGGGTCCACTCACTGCGTTGCGTCTACACGTTCACTGAATCCATCTGTATGGAGCTGCCGGTGTCATCCTGTCACGTGCGTGGGTTGCTAAGACAAGTCACCTCCCTCGTGGAAGCCATTCATGGGAATTCGCCAAACACCCCAGGGCAGTGCCCTCTTGAAAAGGACCCCGTGATGTTTTTTTACTGACGAGAGAGATTCTGCAGAGAGACGTACACACCCACAAATGCAGCACTCGATGCACGTGGTGGTGGTGGTAGCGATGCACGTGGTGGTGGTGGTGGCGATGCACGTGGTGGTGGTGGTGGTGGCGATGCACGTGGTGGTGGCGATGCACGTGGTGGTGGTGGTGGTGGCGATGCACGTGGTGGTGGTGGTGGTGGCGATGCACGTGGTGGTGGTGGTGGCGGTGCACGTGGTGGTGGTGGTGGCGATGCACGTGGTGGTGGTGGTGGTGGTGGTGGCGATGCACGTGGTGGTGGTGGCGATGCACGTGGTGGTGGTGGTGGTGGCGATGCACGTGGTGGTGGTGGTGGCGATGCACGTGGTGGTGGTGGTGGTGGCGATGCACGTGGTGGTGGTGGTGGCGGTGCACGTGGTGGTGGTGGTGGCGATGCACGTGGTGGTGTGGTGGTGGTGGCGGTGCACGTGGTGGTGGTGGTGGCGATGCACGTGGTGGTGGTGGTGGCGATGCACGTGGTGGTGGTGGCGATGCACGTGGTGGTGGTGGTGGTGATGCACGTGGTGGTGGTGGTGGCGATGCACGTGGTGGTGGTGGTGGCGATGCACGTGGTGGTGGTGGTGGCGATGCACGTGGTGGTGGTGGTGGTGTCGATGCACGTGATGGTGGTGGTGGCGATGCACGTAGTGGTGGTGGTGGTGGTGATGCACGTGGTGGTGGTGGTGGTGGCGATGCACGTGGTGGTGGTGGTGGTGGCGATGCACGTGGTAGTGGTGGTGGCGATGCACGTGGTGGTGGTGGCGATGTACGTGGTGGTGGTGGTGGTGGCGATGCACGTGGTGGTGGTGGTGGTGGCGATGCACGTGGTGGTGGTGGTGGCGATGCACGTGGTGGTGGTGGCGATGTACGTGGTGGTGGTGGTGGTGGCGATGCACGTGGTGGTGGTGGTGGTGGCGATGCACGTGGCGGCCTGCAATCCCGCACTGGAGGCAGCGAAGGTTGGTGGATCACCGCGCAGACGTCGTGAAACTCGCTTCCCGTGGGAGCGGAGGAGCCGCGGTGACGCTGGCTCGCCAGGAGGAGGCGCTGTAGGGCAACACGCCAACTCCCTGGCGGGATCGAGCGCTTCCCCCTCGCACGCGTGGGCTTTCTCCGGGGGCTCCGGTTTCTTCCTCCTCCACATTACCGCGTGTTTAAAACACTCATTAGTTTATACTCTTTGTTTTTTTTGGTAAAGTCACGTAGGTAAAACAATCAATAAAATAAATGTTAGTTTTCATTTATTTATTTTATTGTTTTCCCTACGTGACTTTACCGAAAAAACCAAAGAGTATGAATCCTTGCAGTCACGAAAGCTTCAAATCTAGAACCCACTACTAAAAAAAACCTTAACAGAGGACCCCAGAGCTTGGGCAATCGTTGGCGGGAGCTCACCGCGCTTGCTGCCTTCCCGCTCGTCCGCGGCTCCTCGCGAGTTGCTCCCCACGCGAGTTGACATCAACATCGCGCGGCGCTTCAACAAGTTGACATCAACATTGTGCGGCACTTCAACAAGTTGACATCAACATCGCGTGGCACTTTAACAAGTTGACATCAACATTGTGCGGCACTTCAACAAGTTGACATCAACATTGTGCGGCACTTCAACAAGTTGACATCAACATCGCGCGGCACTTCAACAAGTTGACATCAACATTGTGCGGCACTTCAACAAGTTGACATCAACATCGCGCGGCACTTTAACAAGTTGACATCAACATTGTGCGGCACTTTAAGAAGTTGACATCAACATCGCGTGGCACTTTAACAAGTTGACATCAACATCGCGTGGCACTTCAACAAGTTGACATCAACATCACGTGGCACTTTAACAAGTTGACATCAACATCGCGTGGCACTTTAACTAGTTGACATCAACATTGCGTGGCACTTCAACAAGTTGACATCAACATCACGTGGCACTTCAACAAGTTGACATCAACATCGCGTGGCACTTTAACAAGTTGACATCAACATTAAGCGGCAGTTTAACAAGTTGACATCAACATCACGTGGCACTTTAACAAGTTGACATCAACATCACGTGGCACTTTAACAAGTTGACATCAACATCACGTGGCACTTTAACAAGTTGACATCAACATCACGTGGAACTTTAACAAGTTGACATCAACATCGCGCGGCACTTCAACAAGTTGACATCAACATCGTGTGGCGGTGTCGCTACGGTGAACTTTGGCCCAATGTCTGCACCACTCCTGCGCGAAGCCGTCCCCTGCCCTCGCCCATCCGACACGCGCCTTGCAGAGACGCGTCATGAGAGCGTAAGCGGGGTTCGCTGCTCGGCTCTGGGCCAATCACACGGCCCGGGGTATTGGGGGGCGGGGCCCAGACTGGGGGCGTATGTGAAGGTCCCCGCCCACCTCGGGTCCAATCGGAAGCGGGGTGAGCGGGGGCGGAACCTCGGGGCGGAGCCAGCGGGGCGCTATGCGGATGCCGGATCTGGAAGGTTCGGTGAAGGGCGTGGTGAGAGGGAGGAGACAGGGTCACGTGGTGAAGGGCGTGGTAAGAGGGAGGAGACAGGGTCACGTGGTGAAGGGCGTGGTGAGAGGGAGGAGACAGGGTCACGTGGTGAAGGGAATATAGGTGGGATCCCGGAAGGGCTCCGGGTCAGTTGGTGGAGTCACGAAGCTGGACCACGTTGGGTGGCCAGAGGGGATCCGCGCCATCAGCCACGTGGCTGGAGGAGCTTCGAGCACACCGTGCGGGAGCGGGGGAGCGGAGCGACTGACGGGAGAGCGCGCGCGGGGCACAGGAAGCAGCCCGTCCACTGTCGGGACCAGCGGAGTGCGAGCGTCGACGGGAATAAAGAGAGACGGAGACCCAGCGGTGTATCGGCGGAGTCCTTTATTACAGACGTCCACTGCATTCAGCCGTGAGCGACTCCGTGCCATCCACACTGGCTACTTACACGTGAGTTGTATTTTATTTAAATACAACTCGGCGGGAGCTTTCACAAGTTTAAAACAAAAGAAAACTCCTTGCATTGCTAAGACATTGACATTTGTGCGCACAGCCAAGCCACGATGCACGTCGCTCCCCACCCCGTTGAACGTCGTTTCGCGACCAAGTCGTCACTCTTGCACCTCACACACCGCCACTCGAGTTGCGTCGCCTCAACCCACACACACACACCGCCACCCGAGTAAATCGCTTCGATCGTCGTCACGCATTGTAGGAACACGTCACCGACGTAAAGCGTGGGTGGAGTCTTGCTGTATTTGCAATCGGGTTTATGAAAACATACTTTGGTTTGATTTCTCTTCTCTTGATTTGACTGATTCTCGACGCATCAAAGGATACGTCGTTCGCACAGTTGTGGACAGAATGCCATCACCCTGTGTGTGTGTTTATTGTATCTTGGGGGTATTTATTGACGTGCATTTTTTTCCAAGTTGGCTCGAGTCTCATTGTCAAAATAAGCACCGCGACCCCAACCGGCAATGCCCCACCGGGGACGGAAGGCGGCCAGAGTTGGACGGCAGAGGCTCGGAGAGAGAGAGAGAGAAACCTCGTGGACTCCGCAGCCTCCAGGGAAGCGGGGAGCATCTTAAGAGGAGCGCACGCCGGCTGCGTCAAGAGCCATGAACGAGGAATACGTCCGCGAAGCAGAAATCCCCGCGGCATGAGGAGGCACCGCGCGGTGACACCGTGCGCCGTCAGAGGCCGCAGAAATGAGGAGCACAACAAGTAGTTTGATTGTTCTTTTCGCTCGGAGTCATCGGCGCCTGGATTGAGGCCAGAGAAATCGCTGATCGCGAGAGCCTCGTTTTAATCTTGGGGGGAGGGGACGGGAGCCCAAGATTTCAGCCTTGGACTCTGAACGTCGGTGATCAGAATTGCCCATTTAAGAGCCCCCATCACCAAAACCGAGTGACGCGTTGTAGTGTTTGCTCTCTCGCTTCGAGGACGACCACAGACACGCGTAGTGCAGTGCTGCGTGGTGCGGTGCAGTGCTGCGTAGTGTGGTGCAGTGCTGCGTTCTGAGCCACAGTGATGCGTTCTGAGCCACAGTGCCGAGTTCGTTAAAAAAATTCAAAATGTAAAAACTGTGCAATCGTATAATCATCTATAATCGTCTCATGCGCGACTCAATTAAAAGTCCACCGGTAAACGCGAGCGTGAACATTGTATTGCTACGGACGATGCGCGGTGGAGCACCGCGTGGAACGGATAATCAGCAAAGTAAAAGAACGCGCAGGGGAATTGGAAGGGATTGGAGGAGAAATGCATCGCTGTCAACCCGTACGGTTAACACCGTATTCTTGTACAGTTTTCAGGTGCTTACGGCGTAGAGCCGTAACATAATCTGTGTTTCTCCCTTGTGATGGGACTTTTTTAGGATGAATGTTGATATTTATAAGGGGCACGTGGTGACCAATAAAGTCTGAATAGGTATGTAACAAGGTAGGGCACTGATAAGGGGTTGACAGGTATGATAAACACTACAATATACACTACACTACTGTACACTGCACTGTTGTACACTACAATACTATACACTACTTACACAAATACTAGAATGGAAAAGAGCGGGTGACGGAAGATGATTGACAGGGAGGTCGTTGAGGGAAAGCGGGAAGGTGATTGGCTGGAGAGAAAGTGGGTCAAGGAACCTTCGAGAAAGGGGGCTTGAGGGATATAAAGGTGGTGGGGGGGGGGGGACGCGAGAGCCCGAGACGCTTGGGGTGAAGGGAATCCTCGAAGACCCCGTGGGTGTCTCGTGCTGGGAGAAATAAAGACTCCAACTGCTGAAGGCTGCTGTGTCGGTGTTACTACGTCAGCAATGATTCACCACGCACCACGTGATTAGATGCGCACTCAAGTCTCACAGCCACGACTCGATAACAACAAATCTCATTCGCACCGTCCTCTCTGGGAGGGCTTTCCTAACGATTATCTTCCCTTCAACGCGTCGTCACGCTACTCCAGTCGAGGTTCCATTCGTGACTTGCTGCTGCCGCTGCTGCGACGGTCAAAGTGAGCGGCATCTTAAGTGGGCAGCATGATTTACACGGCAGCTCGGAAAATTAAAAATGAAATCCGCGTCCCTCCAACTCGTCAATTGGGTCGTTAGCGCGACGCTCCCCCTGCGGTTGGCGTCGACTTTCAACGTGGACAAAAGCCAAAACTTTTGGGATTTGTCGCCAGATTTTTAGAAGAAGATTCTAACCGTGTGGCTCCAACCTGCAACCTCCTGTCCACCACGACGGGACGAGTGGCGGGCCGTGATGGCTTCTCAAACATTTAGAGTTTTTACATTCATATATGCTATTTATGTATGTGTTGATTTACATAAATATATATACACACACACGCATTTGTATACACGTGTGCAATGTTAGGTTCCTTGCAAAGGCCGCTAAGGTGGACTCGCCGCCGCCCAAGTGGTGGAGCAGTCGCAGCTGCTGCTGCCGCTGCCGCCGCCGCCGCCGGTGTGGAAGTGAAAGTGCTCCCAGCAAGGACTTGAGCTCGATCTGAACCCCGAACAACCAGCGAAGGTCCTCACACCCCCCCCCCCCCCCCACACTCCCGCTGGGCACCGCGTCGCACGCGGTGGGACTGCAACGCGGTTCACGGTTCACTGTGTCGGGAGCGATGGGGTCGGGGGCGATGGGTTAAGAGATGGTGGGGTCAGGGGTCACGGGTTCGGGGGCGATGAGTTAGGAGGTGGTGGGGTCAGTGGTGGTGGGGGGTATGGGGTGAAGTGGTCGGGGGGCGATGGGGTCAGAGGTGACGGGGTCAGGGGTCACGGGTTCGGGGGCGATGGGATCGGATGCGATGGGTTTGGGGGCAATGGGGTCGGGGGTGACGAGGTCGGAGGCGACGAGGTCGGAGGTGACGAGGTCGGAGGTGACGGGCTCCGCTCCCTTTTTGCCCGAGCGCCGTCGCGTGACGAAGGTGAACGCGGCGCGGCACAGGAACGCCACAGCCAGCGTGACGAAGTAGCCGCAGTAGACGTAGAACTGCGCTCGTCAGGGACGCGGCATGTGATGGGCACGGGTGACGGAGAGACCGTGGCGGTGGGGGGTGGGGGGGAGAGGGAGGGGAGAGGAGAGAGACGGGAACAGGAGGGAGGGCAGTGAGAGGGGGGACAACAACAGCCACAAAGTGAAGGGGTGCAAACTGAGAGTATGAGGAGCGGAGAGTCAAGGGGGTGGTGCAGCGCAGCAACTGGGGTAGAACACTGAGCACTGTAGATCCGGCTGTGGAAGTGGGTCAATGTGGAGTGGTGGGTTAATGTGGAGTGGTGGATTAATGTGGAGTGGTGGATGAATGTGGAGTGGTGGATTAATGTGGAGTGGTGGGTTAATGTGGAGTGGTGGGTTAATGTGGAGTGGTGGGTTAATGTGGAGTGGTGGGTTAATGTGGAGTGGTGGATGAATGTGGAGTGGTGGATGAATGTGGAGTGGTGGATTAATGTAGAGTGGTGGATGAATGTGGAGTGGTGGATGAATGTGGAGTGGTGGGTTAATGTGGAGTGGTGGGTTAATGTGGAGTGGTGGGTTAATGTGGAGTGGTGGGTTGACAGCGAGTGTGGTGGACTCGCGGTTATTGTGGTGGACGCGGGGTGAGTGAGGTGGTGGACGCGGGTTGAGTGAGGTGGTGGACGCGGGGTGAGTGAGGTGGTGGACGTGGGGTGAGTGAGGTGGTGGACGCGGAGTGAGGTGGTGGACGCGGGGGAGTGAGGTGGTGGACGCGGGTCGAGTGAGGTGGTGGACGCGGGGCGAGTGAGGTGGTGGACGCGGGGCGAGTGAGGTGGTGGACGCGGGGCGAGTGAGGTGGTGGACCAGCCACCTCACCTGGGCGCGCACGGACAGCGAGAGGCCGAGCTTGTCGCACACGACAAGCGTCACGACGGTCTGCAGCACGGTGGCGAGGAACGTGCTCACCCCGAACACCAGCGCGCTGCACTCCCGCGTCAGCTCCTTGCCGATCTGGAACCTGCGGAGACGGCACGCGACGCCCGTTCGTCTCGGATCACGCCAGCCCCTTGGTGGACCGCGCCACGACCGCGCCACGAACGCCACAGACGGAGGCCAGAGCCCGGACCGCGGGGGAACGTCAAAAAGAAAGTCAACGTCTCTCGTACGGCGACCCTACCGGTCGACCATCGGGACCAGGGGGGGGGGGGGGGCCTTGCGGGCGAAGCCACAAAAAAATGGCGCCATCAAAGATTTGCCGGCCTGCAAGTGGCGTGGCCGAGAATGCCAAACCATCGATCGCATGGCAATCACTCTGCCGACGCTGTCTTCACTCCTTTAAAGGAGGAAGGGACGAGATCCACTCTGCTTCTGAACCAGACAGCTGGGTGGATAACGACATCTAAAACCGCATCTTTAATCGTCCGCTATTAATTCGTACAGAAAGAAGAAGACCCGAGCAGCGTCTCGGCTATCTAGGCACCCTTCTTCTTAGCAGCAGGTTGACGATGTCATTCGAGACGTTGTCCACTGAGTTGTCTGTTGGGACGCAGGGTGGATCTCGTCCGGGCCTCCTTCAAAGGAGCGGACACAGCTGCGGCCGTTGACGATGTGTGCCGACCCTTTGGGATCGGTGGCCGCACTACTCGCAGGCCGTGCCTACTGTGGCATTGGGTGGCTGCATCGGCCGCGTGATCCGCTCCCGATTCGGTCGACGGTCGACCACTGGAAGGTTGAACCCGGGACGTGTCTCGTTGACGTTGGCCGCAGTCCAGGCTGCTACATCTGAACGTGTCGCGTGCACAATCGAATTCCCGTGCTGAGCGTATCATTTGTAACGTGCCCAGTTTTCACACGGATGAGCGGGCAACCCCAGGCAAGCGGGAATGCAGCCGGAATCGTCGTCAACTTTGCCCAAGCTCCGTGGCCCTATACATATTGGGATGTTTGGCGAGTGTTTGTGCCGTACAGGTGGGAGGAAATCGGGAGCACCCCACCGCCATCGCACCCCGGCCACGAAGCCGGCGACTTCGGCACCCACGGACGGGCAGGCAGGGAGATTCACGAATCGGTTTGCGATCCGCCAACCCTCCTGCTCGCCTCCTCCACGACCGCCGGATCGCAGCGCCGGCGGTGACGTCTGGGCGGGGGGGGGGGGGGGGGGGCGGCGGCGTTCGCGGCGCTTCCCGTACGTGGCGACGGTGAGTAGGAGCTGGTGCACCGTGCGGAAGAGCACGTAGGCGGCGTAGCAGAGCCAGATGCTGCGCGTGACGTTCATGGCGTAGAGCAGCGCCGCCTCCAGCGCCACCACCACCCCGAGCAGCAGCTCCCCCCACACGGCCCAGCGCACGCGCAGGAAGCCCACGGCCAGCGACGCCAGCGCACCTTGTCACGCGCACACACGCAGACACCGCCTTATACACACACACACAGACACACACGCAGATAGCATCTCATACACACACACGCAGACACCGCCTTATACACACACACACAGACACACAGACACCGCCTTATATACACACACAGACACACACGCAGACACCGCCTTATACACACACACGCAGACACCGCCTTATACACACACACAGACACACACGCAGTCACGCACGCAGACACCGCCTTATATACACACACACACAGATACACACCACCTCAAACACACACACGCAGACACCGCCTTATATACACACACACGCAGATACCACCTCATATAGACACAGACACACACGCAGACACACACACACGCAGACACACACACAGACACACACGCAGATACCACCTCATATAGACACAGACACACACGCAGACACACACGCAGACACACACACAGACACACACGCAGATACCACCTCATATAGACACACACGCAGACACACACACACACAGACACACACACAGACACACACACAGACACACACGCAGATACCACCTCATATAGACACACACGCAGACACACACGCAGACACACACACACACAGACACACACACACGCAGACACACACACAGACACACACGCAGATACCACCTCATATAAAGATAAAGATCCCCCGTATAGCCTGAACAGACTGTAGGGGCAAGTGCTGTTAGCGAGCACCTATGAAGGCCGGAACGGTACACGAGGGGGTGGGTGGCCAGCACCACGCCCGACCGCCTTTGTCTCCCTAGTGGCGATGTTTACACACCGCACCAGGTACTCATTTAAGGCTGAGTCGACCTTGGGGAGGCCCAGGACCGGTTCAGATAATCGTCACTGGTGTTAGCCGTGAGCGGGAATCGAACCCGGGTCGCCAGGTTCATAGCGCAGCGCGCTAACAGCTACACTACCGCTCCCCACATATAGACACACACGCAGACACACACGCAGACACACACACAGACACACACACCGACACACACACAGACACACACGCAGATACCACCTCATATAGACACACACACAGACACACACGCACACAGACACACACACAGACACACACGCAGACACACACGCAGACACACACGCAGACACACACACAGACACACACGCAGACACACACGCAGACACACACACAGACACACACGCAGACACACACGCAGACACACACGCAGACACACACACAGACACACACGCAGATACCACCTCATATAGACACACACGCAGACACACACACGCAGACACACACGCAGACACACACACAGACACACGCAGATACCACCTCATATAGACACACACGCAGACACACACACACAGACACACACACAGACACACACGCAGACACACACACGCAGACACACACACAGACACACACGCAGACACAAACACACACACGCAGACACACACACACGCAGACACACACACGCACACACACACGCAGACACACACACACACAGACACACACACAGACACACACGCAGACACACACACAGACACACACACAGACACACACGCAGACGGAGACACAGACACACACACAGACACACACGCAGACACACACGCAGACACACACACAGACACACACGCAGACACACACACACACAGACACACACGCAGACACACACGCAGACACACACACAGACACACACACGCACACACACACACACAGACACACACACAGACACACACACAGACACACACGCAGACACACACACAGACACACACACAGACACACACACAGACACACACGCAGACACACACACAGACACACGCAGATACCACCTCATATAGACACACACGCAGACACACACACACAGACACACACACAGACACACACGCAGACACACACACGCAGACACACACACAGACACACACGCAGACACAAACACACACACGCAGACACAAACACACACACGCAGACACACACACGCACACACACACGCAGACACACACACACACAGACACAACAACAACAACAACCGCCATTCGCCACTAAGTGGCGGTGACGTCACCACGATGCTTGTGCCAGGCCAAGTGCACCTTGAGGCCACGTGAAGTGTCGAAAGCCCGCTGGCAGGAGGTCACGGGGCAGACCCAGGTGCCACTGGTCGACTGACCGAGATGACCGAGATGACTGGCTGATGCACCACCTGTGCCCCCTACTGTGCCAACTTGCTGTGCTTTAGCCACCCGGCGCTCCGCTCGTTGTTGTGAGCGTCGCTCCTCCGCCCTCCGTTGTTGTTGGAGGGCGACTGCCTCCAACTGCCCAGTAGCGTCCTTCACGAGCCTCCTCCACTGAGGCCGATCTTGACACCGCTGGTACCAGTCATCGGCAAGTCCACTCAGCTCCACGTCCTCCTGTACCACATCACTCCATCTCTTCTCCAGCCCGTGCCGCGCCCGTCTAGCCCCCTCGATCCGGCCGAACAAAAGCTGTTTAGGCATGCGGTGGCTGGGCATGCGGGCTACATGACCCAGCCAACGCAGCCTTGCCTGCCGGAGGAGCTCACTGATGGGACTTTGCCCAGATCTTTCAAGGATTTGTGAGCTCCTCACACAATCCAGCCTGGTTAAACCCAGGATGGATCGTAGGCAGGCCAGCCTAAATGTTTCCAACCGGCGAAGATGCTCCACCAGGGGGGTCCACGTCTCGCAAGCGTAGAGAAGGGAGGGAATGACCGTGGCCGAGAAGACCTGAAGCTTCGTGCGGAGCGACAGACCAGGTAGCTTCCACACAGCGTTACGCAACCGATGAAAAGATATTGCCGCTCGACTGATTCGGAGTGAGACCTCTGCTGATAGACTGGAGCCGGTCATAAGCACACTGCCCAGGTATGGGAAACTCTCCACTCTCTCCACAACTGCCCCATCACCAATTGGGAGTTGTGGGGGTGGAGTGTCCGATGGTACAAAATACCCAGGCAGGTGCTTGGTTTTGGTGGGGCTGATGGTAAGGCCCCACCTCTTAGTGGCACGCTCCAGTCTCAGCAGCAGCGCCTCCAACTCCTCTTCTGAATGAGCAGCTATTACCAAATCATCGGCATACATAACGTGGTTGACCAATAGGGAGCCATCCCTTGATCGCACCCGGGCGTCGATCAGCCTCCCATTATATCTGTACCAAACGGAAATTCCCCCGGTACAGCTATTGAAGGCTTCACGAACTACGCGGTCAAAATAGATGTTAAATAATGTGGGAGCCAGAGGACATCCCTGTCGCACCCCAAGGTGTACAGGGAAAGGCTCCGACTCCCGGCCACGTAGTTTTACCCGGGCCCGCTCACCATCATGAAGGTCCTTAATGATCGTGAGCAGAGGGTCAGGGACTCCGAAAGCACGAAGAACAACCCAGAGTCCAGTCCTACTGATGGTATCATAGGCCTTGACCAGGTCAATAAAGCAGAGATGTAGGTCTTTTTGGAATTCCCTACACCTCTGCTGTAGCAGACGGACAGAAAATATGGCATCTGTGCAGGACCGCCCTTTCCTGAAACCGCATTGGGGCTCCGCAAGCCCCTCCTCAGCGTGCCTAGCAAGGCGATGTTGAATAATCCTTGCCAGGACCTTACCCGGCACACTGAGGAGTGAGATGCCCCTGTAGTTGTTACAGTCTGTGCGGTCCCCCTTCTTAAAGAGGGGGACCACCAGGGCATCCTTCCAGTCCTGCGGAACCCGTCCAGTGGTCCAGACTGTTGTTATGATGTCATATAGGGCAGTCTGTGCACAAACGCCACCCTCCCTCAGCATTTCGCTTGGGAGATCATCTCTGCCCGGTGCCTTCCCTGGTCTCAGACTCCGGATCGCCCTCAGTACTTCCTCAACAGCTGGAACCTCAGCCAGCCACTCACAGGGGGTGACCTCTTCCAATATTTGAGGCACCGCAGCCTCAGCAGGGTTATCCCCACTTTGTGCCATGATGTTTTCCTGGCTGAGAGAATTTCCCTCCCCCAGGACCTCACAGAAATGCTCAGCAAATCTGCAAACCTGTTCCTGGGGGTCGGAGATTGGATCACCGTTTTTTCCTCTAATGATGGTAATAGGTGTGGCGCTGCAGGTTACTTTTTTGATGGAGTTAAATAGTGATTTGTGATCACGGGCCACTGAGGCAGACTCCATCTCCTCAGCAACCCGCGACCACCACCCATCCTTACAACGCCTTACGGCTCTCCGAACTTCCGAGCGAAGGCTGCGGTAAACCTCCTCATTCTCTGACGTGGGATGCTGTAGGCGATGAGAGTGGGCCTGTCGCTTTTTCTCAATTAACCTGAACACCTCCTCTGTCAGCCAGGGTTTCTGGGGAGGTCTGGACCGCGTACCCAAAGCAGCCATTGCAGCTGCATGAGTCACAGTCCTAAACCTCGCCCATTTACCCTCGACATCAGGTGGAGTGGGGGACGATGCCAACCCCAGCTGCAAGCGATGATGAAATTCTCGCTTGCAACTTTCATCAGCTAACTGAGACCAGGCCACTTTTGGTTGGAATGGGATCCTGGGTGTACACCCACCACCGGAGTGGAAGAAAGGCAGGCGCATCTTACAGATGACTAGTCGATGGTCAGAGGACAGATCAGCTCCACGGTAGGTCCTGGTGTCAAGGACATGGGTTCGCATCCGCTGGTCCGTCACTATGTAGTCCAGCAGATGTTCTTGCTTGGACCCGGCATGTATCCATGATGTTGTGTGGATGCGCCGATGCCGGAAGAGCGTGTTGGTAATTACAAGCCCATGGGCTGCACAAAAATCTAGCAGCCTCCTACCGTTATTATTGAGCTGATCTGGCCCATGCCTTCCAATCACTCCAGACCAGGTGTCAGCATCATGACCAACTCGGGCATTGAAGTCACCCAACAAGATGACTCTGTCCCGAGTGGCCACTTTAGCCAGCACCTGTGACAGGAGGTCATAGAAAGCGTCTGACTCATCGGCTTTGCTTGCATCCCTCCACGGATGTTCGTCTTCGGTGGGGGCA